AGCAAGATTCTCTCAGCTCTCAGCAGTTTTCCATTACCGAGAAGACATTTGGAGGTCTCTGAAGGAGAAAGAAAATATGGCTACTATGATGGATTATTTACTAGTAATAATGAGTACTTACGGTATACCAGCATGCGTGCCAGCAAGATGGCTGAGCTGGTGAAGTACCAACAATGCAGGGCTCTCCACTAGAGTTCCATCCCTAGAACTCACGTAAAGGTAAAAGGAGACAACTCCACAATGTTGTTCTTTGATCTCCACATGCACACACACACACACACACACACACACACACACACACACACACCCCACGGGAACATTCATTGTTTAAATATGTGCACTCATATTTTTTAAAATAAAGTATACCAGCGTGAATACATTTTTTTCATTTTATTCTCATATCCTCAAAAGGAGGAAATCCTTCCCACAATGCACCTGGTTCTGGAGACGATGCAGCTGGAGCCGAGATGCTAAATAAAGTCTTCAAAGAGTAGTCCTTCGAGACAGAGTGTGACCCATAAAACTGTCTGCTCACATCTTACAGACTGAAGTGTGTGGGCCACTTGGCCACCAGCCTAGCTCCAAGGGCAGAGTAAAATCAAAGTTCTGTCAGTCATTCATCACTGGCCCCGAGCAGTGCCAACCTAGTGGCTAGGTCAAGGGCCACATTTAGCTCCAGAGATGTATTGTCCAGTTCCACTTCTGAGTCTAGGCATCCAACCGTGAACACAGCACAGAGCTGGCCCTCCCGTGAGAAAGCAGCAAGACTTCCAACTCAGTCATTCCGAAGCGGGAGCTTCTACCCTGACCCCTGAGGTCCTCACACCGTGATTGGTATCTCAAGCCAACCATTTGGAAAAGGAAGTGCCCCTGGGAATTTTGCTTCATCTACATTGGTCTCTGGACAGGAGAGTAAGTGAGGACCATTTCCTACTCTACTCCATGAGTAATTAATCAATGCTTCTACTCTTGGTCAGGCCTTGTTGACATGTTAAGAAACACTTTTGTTTTTTAGAACACTGTGAGCCCTCCTTACCTTTATTCTACCCAGTCTTGAGTTACCTGTACTCAGGAATAGTGTTTCTGGGACCCTGGGCTTTTGGTGTGTCTTGAAGGCAAATGATGCAGCCATTTTCCCCCTGAATTTTCAAGAGGTGAGAAGGAAGGTACTTAGGTATGACGTGGGGTGTCCCGCCCTGCTGGTGGAGACACTCTGCCCTTCGCTGAGGGCGTTCACATCATGTGGTTTGCAGAAATAAAGGCAGCGCTGAATGGCACGGGGTTCTCCTCTTCTTCTTAACCCTGTAGGAACTGAAATCTTCCCGGAAGAGAGAGCCAGAATCCAGCCGCACCTAACCCAGAACATCTCTATACAGGAAGCTTCCCGACAGCTAGCTGGGCAGTTTCAGCTCTGCATGCTCCACAACCATGCACCTGCATCTTTCAGGGTTACTCTTCTTCCTGGTGATCTCATTGCCTGCAGGTAGGAGGAGAACTGTCGGTCTGAATATGTAAGGGTCTCCTAAGGGCTCAGATCCTAAAATTCAAATAAATTAGCAAGCAAGCAAACAGCCAAATAAATAACATAAGCCAAGCTTGGAAAGTTCCACTCATAGGAGAGGAGCCGGTAGGTTAGGGTTAGGATGTGGGTAAGGAGTATCGGGGTGTCATTCTTTGCATTACTTATTTCTCACTATTTTCTGAAGATTCCCAGGATCTTTAGAGAGGGGAACCCATTTCATGATGTGTGCATTCCTATTCAGTCACCAAATTCCTATTTCCTCTAAATCGAGCTTCTGTTTGTTGAGACAGGATCTCTCTGTGCAGCTTTGGTTTTTCTGGAACTCACTCTGTAGACCAGGCAGGCCTTGAACTCCCAGAAATCCACCTGCCTCTGCCTCTAGGGTACTGGGGCTAAAGGTGTGTGCCACCATGCCCGCTTGTTGCTGACCTAGACTCTACAGTCTCCCCGAGATAGGAGGGGAGTCTGGAAAGGGGAATCAACAGACACCAAACCCTCCACCAGCAGGAAAAAAACGAGACTACCTTTGCTCTTCACCTCCTGAACACTGATTTGCCTTTTTCTCTATTCCTTCAGGTAACTGTGCGGTCGGGAATAAAGGTGTAGAATTTCAAACATGCAGTGCAGTCAAGGGCCTTTGTTTCTTTGGCTGTAGGCCTGGATGGGTATGGGTCGCCTTCTGTAACAACCTAATGTCCTGCTGTGTAAAGGACAAACAATTTGTACTTCCTCAGTCCAAAGGTATATGACCTATGTATGCTTCCCGGCTCCGAATAAAAAGCTGTGTGGGTAATAAAGAGTTCCCAATCTGTCTTCAAAGTCTAAGAGCTCGTTAAGAGAGGTTGTGGGTGGCAGATGGGGATCACACTGGCAGATCTGCTTTTTCCCAGGTTCCAAATGTTCCTTGCAAAGAAGCATTGCGGTGAATGGCACTGCCTGGTCTTCCTTTCTTGTCTTAAATCATAAATCCCTGCTTGGGACTGGAGATGTGGCTCAGTGCACCAGTTGCTCTCCCAGAGGACTCAGGTTCGATTTCCAGCACCCACATGGTAGCTCACAACCATCTATAACTCCAGTTTCCGGGGATCTGATGCTCTCTTCTGGCCTTTGCAGGAGCTTCATATATGTGGCACACAGATAGTACCACATACATAAAGTTCAATTAAACTTAAACAAAAATAATAAAGTTCATACAAGTCCACAGACCCAAGGAAAGGACCTTCTCTGAGTGTAGAAACAACAGTTGCCATGAAATCATCAGTCTTTAAACTGCTTTGCATATATCAAACTACTTACCCCTCAAAACAAAAATTTGATTTCTTCAATTGGTAATTTTTTCTAAGATCACACAAGCGGTAAATTAGTTTGTCTTGCATTTGAACCCAGCCCATTTTCACTTGCTTTTTTCCTTGTTGTTATCACCACCACCACCACCACCACCACCACCATCATCATCATCATTTATTTCTCCAAGAAAGAGCACACCAATTGATTATCCAATACCAAATGGTCAGGCCTTAAAAACATATACATGCAAGTAATATACAAACTGAATGGGTGTAATTGCATATTTGGGGATACACACACACACACACACACACACACACACACACAGTTTCCCGTCTATCTTGATCGAGTCTGCTTTCGTTTACACTGAACTGTTTCTCACTTGGGAAGTATAAGAGATTTGCTGAGCTGTAGTTTCAATGAGAAGTTATGCATCCAACCAGGTCCCTGAAATACTAACCCCTCAGAACTCCTTTTAAGGCTCAAAGCCATAAACTGTTTCTAAGTTCCATTGCTGACTCTCCACACAGGCCCTTGACCTGAAGTTCCCACACACCCGACAACACTACTTTTGCCCATGTATCATTACAAGCATGTTCAGGATGAAGTGGTCTACACAGCTGGGTTGTGCCAGGCTGTAGGCATCCATTCCTGTGTGCCCCTCCCCAAGGGGGACGGAACCACGGGACTCCATCAAGATCCTTGTAATTCACTGCAGAGCCATGAGAGTGGTTGGTTGCCTCATCTCAGGAGTGGTCTTTCCCAAAGCTGTGGCCATAGGAATATTCTATTGGTACAACAGGAAGGACCCACCTGTCCAGAGGCCTTCAGCTTCTAGCCCTCAAATTTCTGGCAAAAAAAGGGGAACAACCTAAAGGTCATGATGGGTTCACACAGCTAGACTCTGATGACATGGTGCCCTGGTTAGCCCTTTGGAACGCCCTCCGGAAGCAGTTACAATGTGTGGCAACCTGTATTGGCGCCGTAAAGTCTGTCTCCTTACCCAAAGACAGGATGGGAGCGGTACAGAAGCTTACAAAATAATTGACAAAATGAACATATAAGTAGTAGATCAAGTCAGGCATAGTGGATTACACCCGCATTCTAGCAGAGACAGCGTAACCAGACGTCCAAGGACCACCTGGGTTGTATGACATCCTGTCTGAAAACAAACAAAAATAATAAATAAAAATGAAAAATAGGTTTAAAAAAAAAACCTTTCATCTGATTTCACATTTTCTTTATGGTCCCCACAGCCATAATAATGTGGACCAATAATACAAAGGTGTTTCTCTAACTTTGCTGGTTAGGTGCAAACAAAGGATAGGGAATTCTCCCCAGCAGAATACAAAGAGGACTTAGATCTTCAAAATTATGATTCTCAGAGAGTGCCTGGGTGTCAGAGCACTTGTCTGACAAGGACAAGAGCCCAGGTTCAATGTCAGGATCACAAAAACACTGAAAGTCCAAATAAGAAACAGATGGAGGGAGCTGGAGCGATGACTCAGCAGTTAAGAGCATTGCCTGCTCTTCCAAAGGTCCTGAGTTCAATTCCCGGCAACCACATGGTGGCTCACAACCATCTGTAATGAGGTTTGGTGGCCTCTTCTGGCTTGCAGGGATACACACAGACAGAATATTGTATACGTAATAAATAAATATTTTTTTTTAAAAAAAGAAAGAAACAGATGGAGTATTTAACTGCCACGTTCCAAAGATGCAGGATAGTTCAACACATGCAGATTCAAAGCTAGGCTTGCATCCCCAAGTCCTAAGATGTCAGTTTTATGATGTTGTCTGCTTGCTGGTTTATAAGGACATACACTACATCTGAATTTGCAAATATATTTACAGAAATGAAATTCTCTTTCTGCTTGATTTCAGTCGATCTTCCTGTATTCCAGTGTAGTAGTTGGTTGCTTGTTTGTTTCCCCGCTGCCCTGACCCAAAATAATTACACAAAAACTATATTATTTGCAATACTGTTTGGCCAATAGCTTAAGCATATTATTAACTAGCTCTTACATCTAGAATTAACCCATTTCCATTATTTTATATTTTACCACAAGGCTCGTGGCCTCCTGGCAAGGTTCCAACTGGCAGCTCGCATCTTTCCCCTCTGGTGGCTCCATGGCATCTCCTGACTCCGCCTTATTTCTCCCAGCATTCAGTTTAGTTTTCCCTGCCTAGCGCTATTCTGTTCTGCACAGGCCCAAAGCAGCTTCTTTATTCATTAACCAGCAAAGGCAGCACATACACAGAAGGACCTCCCACACCACCCCAGTGGCATGTTTGTCAGTTAATGGTGGGGACAAATGAAAATCTGATGTGGTGGCCTTCTGTCTTCTTGAAGGTTTTTCCTCCTCAGTGTTACTGGGGCCTACACATTCACCCCTGACATATACAACAGTAGAAAGAGAGATGATTACGGCCAGGAAGTGCAACAAAGCCCCTATGCTGCTTGTCTTTTCTTTAAAGTGAGCAAACACTGGTCGTTTGCCTGTGTGGAGCCCTGGAGTGCCTTCCAGGCTCGTCCTTTCCCTTGATGAGTGAATGACCATGAGCAGTCATAAATACCCAAACCAAATGATTACAAGCTCGGCAGCTACCAATTCCTATAAATACCAAAATGTTCCATCTCCCCACAAGTCCTGCTGTTCTAACGTCCTAATGTCTGAGGCTCTTTTCCGGCTCCTGGCTTGTGTAGAGGCTCCACAATGCCTGTTTTATAGACGATGGCTCCTTCTCACCACCATATGGCAGCTGTCGTCCATTTTACATCTTCATAGTCTTTGCACACCAGGTTCCAGTCCACGGAGGGCATGCTGGAGAATTCCAAGGCTTTTCTAAAGGGTCTCAACTGTCGGTTGTTTTCTTTTCTTTGGTCAAAAGCAGCACAGAGCAAGGTCTGCAGTCAGAATTCGGTAACAGAAGAGACTTTGCTGGAGAAAGTTCTAGAGACTCATTGCATAACCATGTCTACACTTAAAATGGCACTGGACTGTACAACTAAAAGGAACTGGGAGGGAGCCTTACAGTATGGCTCATTGGGTAAAGGTGCTTGATGCTATACCTGACTAACTGAGCTTGATCCCCAAAACCCACAAGGTACAAGGAAAGGGTCTTACACATGGACTAGCACCTGTCTGCATGTGTAAGCACACACACATACAATACATACACACATACAATCATGCATGCACACACACACAGCACACACACGCCACATCTGGCTGAAGATCAGTGAAAAACTGAGCTCAGAGAGGGGAGAGACTTGTCAGTTACATTTCTGGTGATGGACCACAATTAAGAATTGTTTTATCTCTTCCGATCTTTGTTGTTTGGGAAAATGGACACTTGCCAACTTGGGTAAGACTAAAAAGAACATAGATAAAAAGTCAATGCAATCCACCATTGACCCCTTCCCCCCTGAGGCGGTGCTGGTCTTTGAAAGTTCTGGGGTTCCCTCAGCCCTGGAGGTTTGGACAATGGAAACTACCAGGACAGGAAAACAACCGCTAGTTTTTGCTTCTGTCAGCAAGAGGCGCAAGCACAGGCTTTGGGCTTCATTGCACTTCCAATCTGAAGTTTGTAAGATCCAAACAGAGCTAAAATAGTGTGAGCTTGGATACAAACTTAGATACAAACTTCACAGCAATAATGGTAGGAGAGGAATGGGGATGGTGGGAGGGGGTTTACTAATACTGATTACGAGGACAGAATCCATTTCCGGCTGTATATGATCATGAAGACACTTAGCAAAAGTAATGCTTTGATTGGAGTTTTATTTTAATTGCACATGAATGGAGACTTGAAAGCCATCTCTCTGGACCCAATTCCTTGTTGCTCTTTGTTGAGGGACATTAGAAAAGGTGCTTACCAAACTCCAGCTGCCTGTCTGTAGATGGAAAACAATAGCCACGGAACAGACACACGTAAGTTGATGACCCAGAGACATTGAGTGGGACCGAATGTGTGCACTAGAGCCCAGGCTGGCCTCGAACTCGTGATCCTCCTGCCTCTGCCTCCTTCAGTAAATCCTACTGGCGTGTGCTACCACAACTGTCACCGTGGTGGCGCACACCTTTAATCCCAGCACTCGGGAGGCAGAGGATCTCTGTGAGTTTGAGGCCAGCCTGGTCTAAAGAGTGAGTTCCAGGACAACTAGGGTTGTTACATGAAGAAACCCTGTCTCAAAAAAAAAAAAAAAGAAAAAAGAAAGAAAGAAAGAAAGAAAGAAAGAAAGAAAGAAAGAAACCTTTGGAGAAGGAATCCAAAAAGGATGAAAGGATGTACACATTGGAATGCAACAGCTGTCAATTTAGCAATCGCATGTAATCCCTCCCACTAAACCTTCGAACCACACAGGCTAATCCTCAAGCATCAGAATTCCCGACGGTGAGGAGTGAGCCTGAGCCCCTTCTAGACACCGGAGCCCATTATCCAGACTCACCAAAGGGAGGCGATAGCAGCAGTTCTGTAATTAGGGCCAGGGACACTTGACAGCTCTCTGCACGTAAGGCTGGAGGTTCATCACACGCATTGCCCTGGACTAAACTCCAAATGACGCAGCGGTAGGAAGTTACAAAGAGGGAGCCGGAGGGTTACTTTATCGTTGTCCTACCTGAAATAAAATACAAATGTCATTAAACATAATCATAGATGACATCAGAGGAATCATTTCTTCATGGAAGAGTCAAAAAGGAAAATAATTAGGAACAACAGATAATACATTTTGAGAAGTTGAATTGATAGCTTCAAGTAAAACTTTTCAAATGTTAATAAAAAACCCTTGAGATTCCTTCTACAAAGATATGGGGTGTGTGTGTGTGTGTGTGTGTGTGTGTGTGTGTGTGTGTGTGTGTACACGCCATAGCCCATCTGTGGAGGTCAGAAGTCAGTTTTGCACATCTTTTTTTTTTCCATTCTATCTCTTTGTGCACATACGTTTTGGGGGTGGAACAGAGGTGACCCTGAGCCATCTAAGTAGCCCAATATTGGGGTGTTATTGTACTGGCACACACCCAAGCTAAGAACGGCTTCTGCTACTCACAACAGCACAGCCTTGCAGGCAACCTCCCAGACAAACAATGAGGAATAGAAGTTAGACAGGACAGGGACCCCACTGGCTGCCACTCACTTAGACTTTAGGGGCACTGCACTGTCAGAAGTAGGGGAGTAGCTGTCTCTGGTGGGTGATGAGAGGGATGAAGAATTCTGAGAACACTCTGGGAACATGTGTGTGGACATGGCATAGGCTGGCACATGTTGACATCTGTCAGTAGCACTAGGAAGTGGGTCACATCGCTCTAGAAAAAAAAATAGCCAAGCTTTCCTGGGTGGCGGCCTCTGAAAACCCGAGAAGCTGGAGAGACCTCCTAGGATAATAGCAAACACCACAAGTTTTGCAAAATAAAGCGGATCTCAGATCCGCTTGGTCCCCTCTGAGTGTTGTAGGTTAGTTCAGGGTCCACACGGGACCAACTAGACAACCCCCATCCCCATAATTCCCTGAGGGAACAACAGAAGAGGAGGGCTCAGCCCCTCAACTGCGCTCCCATTTCTCTTCCAGACTTCCCAACAAAGCACGGGCTGCCTGGCGTTCCCTGACCTCGGGAGTCCCCGTACCCTCTCATCACCCCCGCCCCCAGCATGAGGCACTGTCCAGACAAGACCCAGGCCGTCCACTCTATGGCGCCAGCAAGGGGACAGCAGACTGCATGGCCCCTGCTCCCACCACCTCCCGTCTGCTGCCACCATAACAAATGACCTCATCTGAGGATCCGGTTCCTATCAGCCATGACGCTCCAGGCCAGCAGAGGGAGCATCGGGAGGAGCAGACACGGCACTGGGCGCACAAATCTGCTTCTGCGGAGCCTCAGCTGCAGCCTTCAAATCAGAGGCACCTCACTCAGTCTTGTTCATGGATCTTGGACACTGGGGGAGCTCAACTCCTGCAGGCAGAGCTCTCTCAGCCACCTTCCTTTGTGCTAGCCTTGGGTACACACAGACACAAAGGAAAGCCACCACACAAATAAGCACAGGACAGAGGAAGCTGTGTGTGTGTGTGTGTGTGTGTGTGTGTGTGTGTGTGTGTGTGTGTGATTATACACATACTCGTGACTCTGACATTTTGTTGTTATTGTGGTTTAGGTTTTGATTTTTTTTTTTGATTTTTTTTTTTTTTTGCATGAATACTGGGGATCCGATTCAGGTCCTGCTGCTTACAAAGCAGGTACTTTAGTGACTGAGCCACCTCCCCAACCCCAGGAGGCTCCTTTTACACAGCCTCTGCTACTTAAAGATACTACAGGTACCTCAGTCACAGGTACCATGGCCATAATGCCTTCACTGTCCTGTGGAGTCATTTTACCCAGTCTAGAAAGTGAAGTCTAGGACTCAAACTGTTCCACAGTCCCATACCCCATGGCCCACACTGGCACTTCAGCGGTGTGGGAGAAGCCTCCTACAGGTGATGGGGAGGCCACTTCATTCCATCAGACGTGTGACTACCCTGGTGGCAATGCTAGTGTCTTTTTCCCATCAGCTCCAACATTTAAGGATGGTGTTCATGTACTGAAAATAGCCTGGCGTTGGCATATAAACAGACAGGAGGACCAATGGAACCGAATCGAAGACTTGGATATCAATCCACACACCTTTGAACACCTGATTTTTGACAAAGAAACAAAAATATCAAAGGGGAATAAAAGAATATGTAACAAAAGATGCTGACATAACTGGATATCAATGTGCTGAAAAATGAAAATAGATCCTTATCTATCACCATGCACAAAACTCAAGTCCAAATAGATCAAAGACCTCAACATAAAGCCAGCCACACTGAACCTCATAGAAGACAAAGTGGGAAGTACACTTGAATGCATTGGCACAGGAGACCACATCCTAAATATAACCCCAGCAGCACAGACACTGGGAGAAACAATTAGTAGATGGGACCTCCTGAAACTGAAAAGCTTCTGTAAAGCAAAGGACACCGTCAACAAGACAAAACAACAGCCTACAAAATGGGAAAAGATCTTCACTAACCCCACATCAGACAGAGGTCTGATCTCCAAAATATACAAAGAACTCAAGAAATTGGTCACCAGAAGAACAAATAATCCAATAAAAAAAATGGAATATAGACCTAAACAGAGAAATCTCCACAGAGGAATCTAAAATGGATGAAAGACACTTAAGGAAATGTTCAACATCCATAGTCATCAGAGAAATGCAAATCAGAACAACTCTGAGATTCCATCTTACACCTGCAAGAATGGCCAAGATCAAAAACACCAATGACAACTTATGCTGGAGAGGTTGTGGGGTAAAGGGAACACTTCTGCATTGCTGGTGGGAGTGCAAACTGGTATAACCCCTTTGGATGTCAGTGTTGCGATTTCTCAGAAAATTAGGAAACAGCCTTCCTCAAGACCCAGCAATACCACTTTGGGGTATATATCCAAAGGATGCTCAATAGTGCCACAAGCACATGTGCTCAACTATGTTCATAGCAGCATTGTTTGTCATAGCCAGAACCTGAAAATAACCTAAATGCCCCTCAGCTGAAGAATGGAAAAGGAAAATGTGGTATATTTAGACAATGGAGTACTACACAGCAGAAAAAAATAACTACATCTTGAAATTTTCAGGCAAATGGATGGAGCTAGAAAACATCATTTTGAGTGAGGTAACCAGACCCAGAAAGACAATTATCATATGTACTCACTCATAAGTGGTTTTTAGACATAAATCAAAAAAAAAACAGCCTACAAATCACAACAATGAGGACTCTAAGAGAGACTTACATAGATCTAACCTACATGGGAAGTAGAAAAAGACAAGATCTCCTGAGTTAATTGGGAGCGTGGGAACCATAGAAGAGGGTTGAAGGGGAAGGGAGAGGCAGGGAGGGGAGCAGAGAAAAATGTAGAGCTCAAAAAATCAATTTAAAAAAATGAAAAGGATGGTGTTTGTGTCGTTGTTCACACACAGGCAGGCTCTAGAGCCTTCCACAGTATGTGACCTTAAGTGTAGTTGTATCACCTTTCTAGAACTTGGTGTGGAATCTACCAAAGCGGGCACAGCTGTTCTCCTCTCCAAGCCCTTGTAAGAATCAAGTGAACAACTAGATCAGTGCCCATGCTCCACACGAAGGAAGCGGTCCACAACTGTGCAGCATGTTTGTTACCAGGGTCCCTCTGGCGGCTACCTAGGAAGGAGGTCAGCTCTCCCTGGCTCCTCCATCCCCATCAGTCTGAATGTTCCACCTATTGAGTGTGTGAACAGGGGCTGGGTGTCCTTCCCAAAGGCAGCTGGAGTTCCCATATACTGGATTGCAGGACACCCACTGGCCTTTCCACGCCTACCCAGGACAGCACATGTTGTGATTATGTGTGCACTGCAGGCGCCTGTCTTTAGAATGATTAGCTGAGGGCCGTGATCATACCTCGGTTCGTCGAGTGCTTGCTTGACTTGCAGGCGTGAAGCTTGGGCCTCCGTTCCCAACACAGCATAAACCAACTACAGTGATGTTCAGTTTTCATAATCCTAGCACTCAGGAGACGGAGGCCGGAGGATCAAAACACCAAGATTCTCCTTAGCCATGTAGTGAGTTCAAAACCAGCCTGGGAGACAAACTTTATCTCAAGGTGGAGGAGGAGGGGAAGAAGGAGAACACGGGAAAAGAAGAGGGGAGGAAGCAATCACTGGGCGAGGAGTGGATCTTGTTCCTCATTGGAAAACACCTGTGTTAGGTCACCCCTTCCCCCAGAGGACAGCAGGTGAAGAAAGAACCTTGGAAGCTCCCCCAAGTAAACAGTGTCCCCGGCCAGTCTTCCAGCCATTTCATGTGCCTCTGTAGAGGCTCCAGCCCAGTGATGTCTCTTCTCAACAGGTGTCACCATGGGCTGGCCTCTGCACCATGGGACAGATGATCAGACGCTAACCTGAGATAGAAGGGCCTTGGAGGCTCACTGTCTCCCCCAGACCCTGCATTCCCACCCTGCTCCCAAATGCCTGCAAGAGCTTTCTGGGATTTTGCTAGACTTCTCCTTCCATATCTTGACTTTTTAACAGGTACCGCCTCCCACCACTCATGTGGGAAAGATGCTGGCTGAGAACATTGAGAAAGGAGGGTCGGTGATCCTTCAAGGACACACAACTACTGCACAAACTAAGTTTTCTGCTCTTATGGAAACACAATAGTTTGATTTTGGAAAACAAAGACCCTTAGTATCCACCCCCAATTACTCATCAGTGTGTATCTTGGGAGAGTACTCTGCTTGAATGCCAGATTTTCAGAATTGGTATTTGAATTGCTGACTTGGATTTAGTTTTTAAAAAAAAAATAGTGGGTGTCTTAGTTAGCATTCTGTTGCCGTGAAGAGACACCATGACCAGGGCAACTCTTGGAAAGGCAAACATTTAATCGGGATGGCTCACAGCCTTAGAGGCCATCTATTATCAGCATGGCATAAACATGCCACCATGCAGGCAGACGTGGTGCTGGAGGAACTGAGAGTTCTACATCAGGATACACAGACAGCAGGAAGAGACAGACACTGAGCTTGGCTTGAGCATTTGAAACCCCAAAGCCTACCCTAAGTGACACAC